TCAGAGTGGACCGTATCCTGTCCACCAAGCACTCAGTGCTACTCCACTTGTTCCTCTGAAAATGGTAACAAGAGCTCTCCCTTCCCAGCTGCCATTTTTCATTCCAATCATATTACTGGTCAGGGAAAGGCTGAAGACAAATGGGGCTCCCTCCATGGCTCCTCACTAAGGATCTATTGCTTTGTAAGTTTGATTTCCAACTCATCAAAATTAAATGGAGAAAAGTTCAGAACCATAGAATCTTAGAGCTGAAAGTGACCTAAGATGTGACCTCATTCAAAAGATTATAATACATGCAACCCCGTGTTCACTGCAGCTTTATTTACAATAGACAAGATATGGAAACAACCTAAGTGTCTGTCGCTTCATGAATGGATAAAGAAGGTGCCATGTATATTTTTTATATGTGTGTATATATATAAAATTTATATTTATATACATGTACACACAATGGAATATTATTCAGTCATAAAAAAGAATAAAATCTTGCCATTTGTGACAACATGGATGGACCCTGAGGTCATTATGTTAAGTGAAATAAGTCAGAAAGACAAATACTGTATGATCTCACTTATACATGTAAACTTTAAAAACAAAAAAACGAGCTCATAGATACAGAGAACAGATTGGTGGTTGCCAGAGGTGGTGGGTGGGTGAAGGGGGTCAAAGTGTACAAGCTTCCCGTTATAAAATAAATAAGTCCTGAGGATATAATGCACAGCATGCTGACTATAGTTAATAATACTGTGTTGAATATTTGAAAGTGGCTAACAGAATAAATGTTGAAAGCTATCCCAAGAAAAAAATTTGTAACTATATATGGTGATGGATGTTAACTAGACTTATTGTTGTGATCGTTTCATAATATATACAAACATGAACTCATGTTGTACACCTGAAACTAATGTTACATGTCAGTTATATCTCAATGAAAAAAATAAAATTACATGCCAAAAAGAAAAAAACTGATCATAAGACCCAGATCCCATGGATATACAGTTGATTTGTGAAGAAGATGGGACTGGAACCCAGTCCTCAAATCCCAGGTCAGGGTTCTTTCCACTAACCAAGTCCTGGTACTAATGCTACTAATGCTATACTAAGCACTAGGTACTTGAACTAAGACCACAGCATGGTACTAGCATAGTGTTGCACTAGGACTACTAGAACTAATACCCAAATCTGTATAAACTAGACGTTCAGCAGAATCATGAATCTAAAGAGTAATGGGGATACTGAAACAACCCCCCTCTCCTAGTCTAGAGAGAAGCACCCAGGCTGAGCATGGTGGGACATGGAGAGGGCTGTGACAAGATGCTGGAAGAAGATGCTCCGGTATGAAAAAGGTCTCTTCCGTGGAGGAAAGTAGAACAGAGGAGGGAGAAAAATTGAAAAGCATACAGGATCGGAAAGGAGATAATGGAAATTAAGGTGTCAGGAATCTCTAAAAGCAACTCTTCCTTCTCCAGGGCTAATTACACTTTAACCCTCCATACCCAAGCCCATCCTCTCATGGTCACCACGCATCTACCTGAATGCAAACCAAACCAGCCACTGTGTCTGGATACCTCCCTGCCTGCTGCAGGCTGGGTTAGAAGCCACCATGAGGCACCCACAACAGTTAGTGCAGATCTCTATCATGGCCTTTGTACAGGGTGTTCCATAACTGTGTGATCACAGTTCCATCACCGGAGTCTCCACCATCAAACTGTAAGCTCCTTGAAGGCAGGGCTGTCTTATTAACCCCAGCACAATGCCTGGATGTGACAGTAACTCAGCAGCTGACTGTGCGTGAATAAATGTATTAACTCAGCCATCACCTCTTTGGGAGTTTGTTTCCGAGCTGCTCCACTCCCACCCCAGGTTTCAGGCACGTATGCCTCATCCGTGCTCTCGTAGCACCTGTGCGGCTCTCATGGCTCTTATCATAGGACCTCTTACCTCCATATCAAAATTACCTGAAAACTCATTTGAGTCACTGACTAGACTGACAACTCTTTGAGGGCAAGGACTGTGTCTTTTCTCTCTTTATTCTCAGCACCTATCATAATACTTAGAAACCACAGGAATTCAATACAGACTTGGAGAAAGGATGAATAAATGAATGAATACAACCAAAAGGGTACCAAAAGAAATGCTAATAGAACAAGCACTCTTCGTCACAGAGAGGCCCACAAGAGTCTCCAGGAAGACGAATTGCCTGCTCCCAGAGTGTCGCCACAGCTCTGGCGTTTCTTGCTGCCAGGAAGGGCTGAAACGCCATCCATATTCAAGAACAAAGACAGAGTGAACCCTCCTCAAGTCCTATTGCTAGATGGCACCTGTTGCTAAAACAGCAGCTGGTAAGCATTTTGTTTTGTGCAAAATGACAAAGACAACAACAAAACACTTTATTACAGGAAGCGGCATCACAATGACAATGAGAAATCATGAGGCTAAATATACAGCAGAAAAAAATACAGAATTTTTGTAATGAAGGACGAGGAAGGAGCTGCTAGAGTCTGAGGAAAAAAGCCTGAAGTGTTGATTAGAAATTGCTCAGCCTGCATGAAAAGAGAGAAACTAAGGGCGGCTGGGAGGGGAGGAGAGGAAGAGATAAAGAGAGAAGAGAGAGAAAGGGAGGGAGAGGGAGAATGAATGTGGTTTTTTTTCCTGGCTCTCTGACTCATTTTTAATCTGTCCTTTCCTTTCTCCCTCCCCTTCCACCACCCACTCAAGAGAGGATTCATTGATTGGGCTGGACTGAAATGTCTTACCTTTGCTCTGTGAACAATGAGTCTGAATCCTTGCTGCTCCTCTCTCTTCCCTCCCTCCTTCTCCCCAGCCGCCATTGTTAGCTGCTTCACTTTGCTGAGGCTTGTCCACGGTGGGATGCGGGGGGAAGGGGAAACTGGGACCAGGGGATGCCAGTGGGATCTCTGGAGCCAGTCTTACTTGCAGAGGCTGGAAGTCCCAGCCCTCTGACAGCTGGGATGGCCCTGATAACTAACCTGTTGCCTGCTTCCAGGCAGGAGCAACCTCTCCAGGTGCGGATGGGAGAAAGCACAGACCAGATGAAGCAGCACCTCCCCTCAAGACAAAAACAAGCCCCCCCCCCCCCCCACACACACACCACAAAGCTCAGAGAGGGAGCTCAGGAGAGTGCAAACAGGACTGGCCCGGGGTTTGGGAGGACTGGGTCTAGCGCCCGCTCCAACACACACTTGCTGTGTGCACATTGCCTCTCTGGGCCTCCATGTGTATAAACTGAGAGGACTGAATTAGATGGTCCCAGGGACCATTTCATGAAAAGCTGTCAGCCATCTAGCAAGGGCTATGTGTTCCCCTTCTGCCCCATGCCCTGCAAATCCCTAGAGAGCTCTGTTTGGGTATACCCCAGGGTGTCTGGAAGAGCACCTCTGACTTGGGGACCCCTCCCCAGATGCCTAGCGGACTTCAGGGAGGCTGTGATAAAGGTTTGAGGCCAAAGTTCCCCTCAAATATGATAATTGAGAAGTAGAGGCAAATTAAGGACGTTCAGAATCAGTGAGGGTGGAAGTAGAAGGCACTAGGAGGCCAGGGGAGTGGGGAGACATGGATCAGGCAATCCCTGAAATTAGAGATGATTCATATTTGAATAATGTGGGAGGGATGAACTCACAGCAGCCAAGAGAAGAGGCTAACTCTGCTGAGGGACCCCTCCCCAAACCTAAGCCCCGCAGGGGGCAAAAGCCAGTGTTAGGGACCCTTCATTAGGAATAGAAAGAAAAATTGAGGCAATCTATAATCTTATTCTGAAGCTAAGTGACATAGTGGTTTTGTCTTTCTTCTCAAATGTATTTTACCCTCTTTTAGTCACTTGCCTTAGATATTTTTATCTTGTTCCTCTTTTCCTACTGACTTGATTTTTCCCAGTCTTCAGTGCTCCCAGAGGGGACACAACTTTGTTCTTGGTGCTATTTTCCATTTTCTCTCCTGCCCTTCACTACCCCATCTTGTCTTCACCACTTTTCTGCTCCCTTGTTCCTCTCCTCCATCACTTGGTTCCACCTTGCTTTGAGTTGTTGCCTCAGACCCAGTCCAGACTACCCAAGCCTTCCTAACCCCTCCACCTCCACCCAAGGCAGGGCTGCTCTGTGAATCTCTCAGGGCTGCCCATTCAGCCTGGCCACCTATCTCTCAACCTCACAGATCATCCTGTGGGAACACGTGTTAGGAACCAGAGCCGTTCCAGACCCCAGGAGGGTGGGGAGAAAGTTCACCAAAAGGGAGGGGGAAACACAGAGGTCTCAGCTAGAGGAAGTGACCAATGCTAAGGCAAGGCCCTACCTTCTGAATATCTCTGCAAATTATCTTTATTAGAGGGTGTCCCCACCTGTTTATGGGGGGAGGAAGGCTCTTCTCTTCTATGGGACCACTCCCCAAATGGTACCAAATGCGAGTGGGGCCCTCAACTCCACAACCAATGAAGCCTCCATCCCCATGTCCTTCCTCATCCCCGCTCCCCTGCACACCTGGGAGCCGCTGAAGAATGCCCCTGGGGCTCCCGGCTTCTCTAGGGAAGGAATTAAGAAGACACTCCTTTACTTCCAACCCCCAGAAAACCAGTTCTCTTAATTAATCAGTTTCCTCCGAGCTTTCATTTTTTTTTTCCCAACCAGGCTTTTCCCAGGACTCACAGCACTACAAAGTCAAGATAAGACCGAGGAAGAACCGTTGTATGAAAGGAGAAATGCACACTGGAAAGAACAATCTCATATCTCGAATGAGTCAAAACACCTGCATCTCGATCCAGCTCACTTGATGCGGGGTTTCTCCCCGCCTCCCCCATCATTCTAACACACACACACACACACACACACACACACACACACCCCTCCCCCCACTTACCACCAGCCTGCTAAGCAGCTTTAAGCACAATGGGGGGTAACTGGGGGTGCGGTGCGGTGGGCTAGGGTTAGAACAGTACCAGTACCGGAATACATATAAAGTTATCCGTTTCGGTAGAAAACGCCTCTTACCTGTTAGCCAGAAGAGAGCAACCCACGCCAGCAAGACCCTGTCCATTTTCCCCAACTTCCCATCCAGATTAAGGAGTGAGGGAAGTGGGAAGCGACAGAGACGGAGGATCGAGGTAACCGAGTGGCGGAGGCGACGGCGGGCGCGAGCGGGCCCCCAGCGTCCCTGGGCGCCGCCGCCCGGGCCGCGCAGGCGGGGCCCCGGGCTGACCGCGCCGCCGGCGGCACGCGCGCTGC